GTGCCTTTTCCCCCTCTCCTCTCCCGTTTCCATGGCCACAGACAGGAAGGCACGGGAGCCCCGGGATGGCACCAACATCAGGGACTCGGTGGCCACAGAGGGGACACAGGGGAGGTTAAAACCCCTCTCGATGTTCCCAAAAGCTCAGCGGGGTGGCAGCCACAGCCCTGGCACAGCAGGGACCCCGCTGGATCCGGGGCTGGAGGGCAGAGTTCCCTGGGATTCCCATGGGATGTGGCAGGAACCCAGGAAAGGCTCAGCAGGGAAAGGTTCTTTAAGGGTACAAAGGAGGCAAGAAAATTTAGGGTTGGATTATTTGGAAAATTTAGGGTTTTCCATTAGAAATACACATGGGGTTTGCTTTTTTTCCTGAYGGAAAAACCTTAGGAGAAGCACACCAAAAACCCCCAAATACCTGCATTTCTGCACAGACTGGGAACATTGGACCCAACTTCTACATCAGAATGGTCCAAAATTGAACAAAACCCTCAAAAATTCTCATTTAGGGAAAGTAGGAACAGAATAAAGCATCTGCCCTTGTTGATCAGCAGCAGTTTTATACTGGGAGGGAGTGATGCCAAACCAGAAATCCTGATTCGGGGTTTTTTTTTGTGCACCATAAAATACACAGAAAAATACCCAAATACCAGAAAAGAACTGGGAGTACGACAGAAAACCACTTCCCTTCCYGAATTTAGTGTTTAAAAACAAACAAAGAACCAACAGCAATGCCCAAACCACGTTATCAAGTTACTCCAGACCCAAAGCAGAATTTCTCCCACCCCCACAGGATTTTTCAAAAAAAGGAACAATTCAGATACCCAGGGGTCTGAGTGAAATTGGACACTCCTGATGAAATCAGACTTCTTCTGCCTGGGCTGTGCCACGGATTTCTGAGAAAAACATCCCCCATCATTATTTTGATAATGGGAGTTAAAATAACTGAGATCCTGTATGGTTTTTACACACAGGAACTAAACAGGCAAAATTCAAACAAACAGAAGAACTGGCAAGTGTGTTCATTTCATAGAGAATGGTTATTTCACCCTGAATTTCAAAGGAGTCTAAATATAACCAAAGAAATCAAATCAAATCTGTTATCTCCTGCTTTTGTAATCCTGCAGACTGTTTATTTAGCTCGATTTGGAATAATAAAATATTTATGAGAGGGACAAGCACAAGTTCTGCTGGAAATCAGAGAACACAYCCTGAAAGGAACAGAATCCTTGGAAAAATGAAGTTGGGAAAAGCCTCTGGGTCAGCTGRGYAAAGAAAAKAAATATTTTATTTATTTWGTGCCCAGCAGGAGMAGCTTTACCTGATTTTGTTGCCCCCGTCYTGGTTACAAACTGGCAGCAGATCCATGAGGACTTTGTAGAAATATCTGAGGGTGAAGTCGATGCCCATCACGGCCACGGAGTGTCCTGAGGACATCTGAGAACTGCAGGGGAAAAGGGAAAAGCATTTTAGGGCAATAATAATAATAATAATAATAATAATAATAATAATAATAATAATAATAAGGAGAAGGAGAAGGAGAAGGAGAAGAAGTATATTATAAATATATATTATACATGCATATTTATAATGTATAATACATACTATGTGTATTAATATACAATCATTGTCTAATAATATATGTCTAATAATATATCCTATTATAATAAATTACATTATTACAAATAGCAACACTATTAATATTTAAACTATTAATAATATTATTAATACACACTTATAACAATATTGATAATATAACTAATTATTATAAGTACATATTATATATTATTAAAAGTATTACAATATTATGATAATATATATAATAAAGTACATTCAAATATCATGGTATTATATTATTATATAACATTTTAATATATTATTACTGTTATTAACAACATTCCTATCCATATTATAAATAATTTTCATTTATTATTATGAGTCCATTATTATTACCATTATATGATTATGATTACGATTATTAATAACAATACCAATGATAACAATAATAGCAATAATAACCATAACAGTAACAATAATAAT